GGAGTCCACTTGAAGGTTCCTTACCAATTGCCGTATCTAACACTTCTGCTTGGGTGTTTCACTTTAAACCTTCTGAACCTGTAACCTGTGTTAACATCACTGGTTATTTCAGATGTACCAGATCATCATCCTCAACCTTAGGACTAATTTATCTTCAAGGTAAACCTCCTAGAGCCTTCTGTACCTATTTTTACAACTGACCTAGGTATTACTATGGCAGAATCAACACTTGTAATTAGAGCTAACCATTAAACTGCTATGCCTTTGTAGAGTTTACTTAAACTCCAGCATCTACTTCATAGCATAACCCTGATACTTTAGTATACCCCTGCCTTTTCCCTACCCTTTTACCAAACTCCCAATCCAGATAGCCTGTGTAGGACTATGACCAGTCTATCGGTATATCAGGTTAGCCCAATATCCTTTTTCTCCAGTTCATTCCAGCAGCCTGGTTGGTGGTTCCTCTGAGACTCTCAACCCAGAGGTTCTTGCCTGTTCAGCTATTAGGAATGGGTACTAGACTTAGGTATCTGTTTCACCAGGCTAGCCTTTACAGTAGGGCCATTGAAGATCCAGCTACCTCTCTACTTGAATCTTCTCAAATGGACTTCTTGTTACCCAATTTCAACGGATTTACACAGCCACAAGGACTTATTTAGTGTTTGTACTGCCCAATATGTTAGTTTGCATTCCTTTGTGTAACTTCAACATTGCACAGATGCCCTATAACCTGCCAGTCATACTGGTGCGACCATCATTACAGGTATCCTAATCCAACCATTAGTAATAGTTGTCATAATACAAATATTACATAGGTGATTATTCAAATTTTCACTGTCGATGGGATTTGAACACCCAACCTACCACTTGGGAGGTTGACAACCTGACCACTTCACTAGGTCACCACACCTTATTTTTTTTTTTAAATATCAAGATGAGTATATATAATCTAGAATTTTATTAGTAATATTAGTTGGCTAGCATTTGTTAACATAACAGTGCAAAAACAATTATAGAAAGAGTGTACAACTAGCCATTTATACAACTTTAGTCATTGTCTAATTTAAGTAGTCTATTCAAAAGGTTTATACTAGTTGCTATACTTAGGATTCATCTATAAGACCTTTATTTAAACACTCTGATTTTATATGTATTATACTCAACCAATAACTTTAGTAAACTGATAAAAATATAGAGTCTTTGTCTTGAAAATAATCTTATAGGACATAGTAAATCATATGATCCAAACTTGATTTTCAAGGCAAAGACTCTATATAACATGGTCACTAAGTTATGTTTAACTTTGTACTAAACCTATTAGTACATTCTGTTTCCTATACTTATAGCTCAGTATTGCTTTGGTCTAAACTATTACTTGTGATCAGAACTAACCATTAAACTGCTTATACTTTTGTAAGGTTTATTCAAAACCTTAGTATCCATCTTTCTAACATCTTCATCATCATCTCCTACTAACCACTACTTAGAACTAACAAAACTTTCTGAACTTTTAATCCAAATGGCCTAGTATAGTATAGCTTAGTATCTTTTTTTAAAAATGATTTTGGCAGCCTGGTTGGTTATATGTTTTTCTACATATTTTGTCATCTGGTTTATCTGTCTATTCTTTTAGAAGTGTTTTATTGACTTCTATCAGTTTGATAACACTGTCAAAAGTTTTGTTTTACCTCCTTACACAGGATTTCCAAATGAGTTTACAACTCTTTGGTTCTTTCACTTTTCATGCCTAATGGTCTTATTGTAAGTTTGCACTAAAGTCTTATACAACACCAGTTATATTTTTCTCTATATGAGTATAACATTATATTTTGCATAAATGTTCAAGCTACCATTTGAGATGATGCAACTAAAGCTTACAGATATATTAATTCAACTGATCAACAAAGATAGTTATTATAATACAGACCTATTTTCCAAAATTTATTATTTATAATATTTGAACTCTAGACTTGTCATTTGGGTTGACAACCTGACTACTTCACTAGAACATCATATTTCTATAAAAAAATTTTTTTTTTTTTTTGGTATTAAGATGATCTCTTTGGTCTTTTGATTTTTATTAATCACTTATTGGTATTGTGATTCAATGAACCACTACAGAAGAGTGTACAATTGGTTACATATATAACTTTTTTATATTACCTATTTAAGAAGTTCACCCAAAAGTTTCTTACCAATTGCTATACCTAATATCTCTGCTTGGGTGTTTCACTTTAAAACCTCTGAACCTATAACCTATATTAACTTACTAGATTATACTCAGATGCCCAGATCATCATATCAACCTTAGGACTAATTTATTTTTAAGGTAAACCTCCCAGAGCCTTTTATAACTATTTTTACAACTGATTTAGGTATTATTATAGCAAAACCAATACTTGCAGTCAGGACTTAACTATTAAACTGCTATGCTTTTGTAAAGTTCACTTAGATCCTAGCATCTACTTTACAATATATCTCTGGTACTTTTAGTATACCTCTGCCTTTTTATCTGTCTTTTTATCAAATTTCCAATTCAGATAGTCTGTATAGGACTAATCAGATAAAGTCAGTAATATAAAATTAGATAGTATATAGTACTAGTAATAATCATAATTCAGTAATGTTAAATATAGATTCCAGATTTAAAGAGTTTACAGTAAAACATTTAAGCAAAAATATTAGATATAATAATTGGTAAAAAAACCTTTAGATGGATTTCTTAAATAAATAATATAGAAAATTATACATATAACCAATTGTATGCTCTTTTGTAGTGGTTTATAAAATCATATTACCAAAAAATTTTAATAAAAATCAAAAGACCAAAAAGGTCATCTTAATATTAAAAAAAAAAATAATAATAATAAAAGTAAAGATAGTATTTATATTATTATTTATAAAGTTGCTTACTGTTTTAAACTTGATTTGCATAACTACAAAGAATACTATAATCTGCTCTGTTCATTGGGTCTGATCATATATACCTAATCTTTTATTACAATACAACTTCTTTATAAATACATTTTTTAAAAAACTTCCAACTATATGATTATATAAAAGGATAACTGTACTTGTATATATAATAAAATTTGACTAAATTAATTAAAATTTAACTAATACAAAATTAAATACTTTAATTAATTAATTTATAAATTAATTTTATTATATAATTTTATATTTTAATAATAACAGTTATAAAACAAGTCATATTTCTTTTAAATGTCATATTTGGATTCATTTTAATATTAAGACTTAATTGTTTAATGCTCACTGAAATTAATTTGTATGCAATTGTAAAAAACTTACATTTTTTGTGCATATTTATGTTTACATCTAGCTATACAGAAGATGTATGTTTACAACTTATAATAGTATACAAAGGCATCCTTTTCTGAAATACAAAATTAATATACATAGTAGAAAATAAATAAATCAAATCATATATATTCAGGAATAGGGTCTTGTAACCTAGTAGTCTAAACACCTCTCTCTTTACAGACAAGATCAACAATTCAATTTCAATTAGAGGCAAAAACTTTGTAATCTATGAAAGCATATGAATATATATGAAACCCTGTGACTAAATTCATGTAATTAGAAGATTGGTATATAAGGAAGTTCTCAGAAAGAAGGTTTCCAATATGGAGAGTTAACACTTGATGCGAGAGAAGCAGTGAACATACTAAAAATAGAGAGAAGACACACTAACAGGTAATACAGTGAACATAAAAGAAAATTTTAAAAAAGGAAAGAATTTATTATAATTTGAATACTTCTGATATCAAACTGGTTCTAGTAGATACAGAATCTACTAAAATTAGATAAAATCTAAGAAGTAATCTTGATATCATACTTAGTAAGTTTGTGTCAAGGGTAAATTCAAAAAAACTATAGAAACTTAGTAATATCCAATAAGGTAGTACTTAGATATAAATAGTAATTAGATAGCCCTAACCTGTTATGTCTCAATAATAGTAATGTACTGTATTTCAGATATATGCAATAAGTGTTGAAAATCAGAAAGTTTAAATAGAGGACTTACAGGCAGGTCTTAGGTATGGCATCTAGTGAATAACCTATAGGCGGAACCCTTAATTAGATAATGACTAAAGTTATACGTGTGACTAGTTGTACTTTCGTTAATATACATTGTATATAAACTTGTAATTATACATTATTAATAATAAATAGGACACACAGGCAAGATCGCCCTTAAAATAAAAAAACAAAAAAAAACATATATATTCACATTAATCAATTAAATAAATAGAATAATAAATATAATTAACACAAAATAATATATTATAATGACTTATTCCATGAAATGTATGTAAAAATAGTCAAGTTAACAAAGTTACATATGTTAATACTATTTCTTATATAATCAAAAAAACAAAATTTGCCACATATTAAATAAACTTATTTTATTTGAAATATAAAACGCATTTAAATAAATATTCTGATTAAACAACTTGACAATTAACCCAGAAATTTGATGAAAACGTTTTATAAATATTAGGTAACCATAACATGAATAGTAATTTAATTATAAACTTGGGTAACCTAACATGAATAGTAATTTAATAAGTTAATGCATAACAATGAATATATACATACTAAATACGTACCTTGTTAATTGATACTAATGCGGTTTGTCCCACGTAATTAATAGACCGTAGCCTAGTAAAAACAATAAAATAAACCCAAAATGCAAAATTATTTACGAATATAATAGAATTAATGTAATACCTATTAAAACAAATGACAAACTAAAACTGTTAAAGCAACCCTAAATACGCAATGGTACAGTATTTGATTTAATATATAATTTTTAAGTTAGAGAAAAAAAAAATACAGAATAAAATACCAATAATGATCCTTGATTTTTCTTATATAAGTTACAATGGCTAGAGATCCAAAAGAAGAAATAGAAATACCGCTTGAAAGCTGCCAATGATAAATTATTTTTATGAAAATGAAATTTGTTAATGTGAGACCTACTTTGTAATAACGAACAATGACTACAAAATATTAAATATACTGTATTAACATTGTATATTATAATTTCGACATTCCATTTTTATTACCACCAAGTAACAAACATTCCACAAGCATGGGCGATTAGAACAACCTGGTCATGATCCGCACATTGTTGCCAATTCGGCCAAGTTGTTGACCTGCCACAATCACTATAGTTGTCATATTATTGAATCGTTCTTAGAAATCATAATACCATAAAATTTTCCTAAAATACGGATATGTTTATTATTTCGATTAAAATTTATAATATAATGTGATAATCATGCTTAAAGAAATATAACAAAGTCAGGTTGATAACAAATGAAATACCAGTTATCTGGACTTCACGGCATTATGAACTCTTTATATTAAATAGTAAGTAAATGAATAATATAAGGAAAAAAAAACGAATTTATAAGTTATTAAAATTCAATTGACAACACTAAAAATAAGGGAATATTATTCGCGAGTCTAAAAGGAATATGGTTTGAGCTCTAAACTTCGTAATTTGGCTAAAGTGGTAAATAAATAATATTATTAAAATACATATATAGCGTTAAAGCGTAATATGCAAATTTCCACCAGTTCACCGTCCGATGACTAAACGAAACTTAGTGACCTACTTTACAAGCAGGAGTTCACCGTCAGATGACTAAATGAGGTCTTCTGCTTGTACCTCTGCCGACTAACATTTTCACATAACGAGCATGTGACTCTATCCAGTCCAAAAATAGATACGTAAATGTAGTTTCATAAAATTTGTATAGAAAGTAAATAATGTATTTGCGTTCGCCAAAATTACGTGGCATGATTGAGTGTTAAAAATATGAAAGCTTTTTTGTAAGTGAAATACAACGATTAGTATACCTTTGATGATTGATAATACAGATATTAAAGAAAACATACAAATTCAGAAGAACCTTCTCACAATATACCTTAAATAATTCATCTCCAGTGTGGATTATCCAGAACCGCACTCTTAAAATCATTCTTGGATTTCTATGAAAAGTGCATTTAGACGATATAAGAAAAAAAAACAGCCCTAAGAATAGAACTTACATTAAGGACATTATCATTGCATCGCTCTATGTCTGGCACAAAATATAGTCCAAAGTCGGATGCGCATTTTCCCTTGACAGCACTCCTATAATATAGCAGTTTCGGAATCATACTTTTATTAAATTATACTTGATGTGCTTTTCTAAGAGATCAAGTATATTCTCCCTATCTAAATACGATTCTTTAACGCGGTCAATAAAAACTGAATTTGGAATCTTTTGTGCCGATTCTCTTGCAAAGGTTGGAAAATTAGGAAAATCGTCTAAATAATTTATATCATTAATGCGGACAACAGAAAAGTAAGTGCAATGATTAAAAAATTATTGCAAAACTGGTTAATCTAGTATTACCTGTTGAGTAGGCATAATATTTATAAAACGAACGAATTGTACTATCCTTCTGGCAAACTACAACATAACATATTTATGAATTGCATAATCAGAAATGTTATTTATTTTTTCTCAAATAATGCATATATTAAAAAAAATAGACTTACTTTTTTTAATTCATCTTTAACTATTTCCAAAACTCGTTATTGATCAATGGATTCAAAACAACATTGAACATCCATTTTTGCGAAGTATAATCTTGATCTGCAAAATAAAAAAATAAGTAATAATCAAAAACCAGAACTATAATACATTATGTATTGACATACCGTGCATATTTATTTTTAGTAAGATTTTGGCTAAACTCTTTCAAACGTTCATAAATCTCATTAAAACTGAATGCTGAACCACCTAGTTTAGAAGACTTTCCATCAGATTTACCAGATAATTGCATACCCTGAATTGAGTATCTTATTTCAACAAAGAGCAAAGCCGTTTGACAAATAAAATGTAGAAAAAAAATATCTTGAAAATTATCAATACTGTTTTTTCAAATGTTAGGGCTTGAAATGTATTTTGTAGAATTGCGTTCACGGATTGCTTTGGCTTTCTTTAACGTGCACCTATGCCAACAAGATATTTATTTCCAGGTATAAATAATATGTATAACATAAATTATGGCAAATTAATGTTAACTACCATACAGCGTGCATACAGTATCATAAATGTCATTTACTATCAATAAGATTTGTGTATTTACTTTTGCCTGATAAATGACTTCCCTCTAAAAATCATTTGAATTGATTTTATCTTGTCTCGTATATTATCCTCCGGGTACAAATCAAGTTAGTTAGGATTTTTTGACTTGTTTCCCGGGTGTTATATGCAGCGCTCTATGGTAGGTATATAAGAATATCTCAACAAATAATAATACCAGTACGATCATATGAAATATGAGAGGGATGGTTCCGTTCAACTTTTTGGGCGTGGCCTAGCAAATTTTGAAAAAATCCTGGCCCTATTCAAAGTTGATCCTACGATTTAGGGTGTTTCTTATTATGGCTAGATCATGGTCACGGGTATATGTAGATCTCTAAAAATAGAACAATATATGTGATTTGCCTTTTATCACATTATCACATAATTTCTATATAACGGTTTTGAGTAGTTCTATTTTGCTTTGCTGCAATAAGTTTAATTTTACATTAGGATGGTACGGGTAACTATTAAATTATAGGTCGCTAAAAGGAAATATTGTAAACCTAGAGCCAATAAATCTTCATTAGATCAATATTACAGTTTTTTGTATTTTGTCAAGACTAGTAATAAAGAATATTTGTGATTTATTATGAAAATTCCCTTCTAACGACCTATAACCTGCTAATTAATCTATTTTTCAATGGTTTGTAAACTCAGTTATCTTATAATTCTCAATTTAATCATTCGATTCAAAGAAAGAATTATTTCACTAAACATCAGAGTTGAAAAACTTCATGAAAAAGCTTATATCAATTCTGATAACAGTATCCAACCTGAAATGCTCTCATAACAATCATTGATCTTTAATATTGTCTTATATTCATCCTTTTCAATTCTAATTCTATTTTGATGACATCCTGTTTGAAATGTCCATTAGAGTATCCTATTTTTGATATCAAAAGTGGTTACCAAAGCATTAGATAAAGTGATAGAATTCATCCTCATATTTCAAAGCATTATAAATTTAGTAAATGAAGGATTCGATTTAATAACTATGCGATCATGAACAAAAGATATTTATTTTTTATCGAAAATCTACAGAATGATGATGCTAAATATTGTTATAGAATTAAGGTTGAAGATGATGAACATAAAACATTTGTTTCTTGCTGAAAATATGCAGAGATAAGTTACTCTGATGAAACTTTCCAAAATGGATACTATCATCAAAATAGAATTAGAGTTAATAAGATGAATATAAGGCAATATCAAATCTGCAAAGATGGATGGTATTACAGGAACATTCAAGGTTAGATACTGTTACCAGAATAGAATTGAATATAAGGCATTCATTATTATCGAAAATTTACAAAAATAGAGATACTGTTAGAACATATAGATATTATAGGAATTGAGTTAAAAAGAATGAACATGAGATATTTATTTTTATTGAAAATCTGCAAAAATGGGTTACTTTGATGAAAAAATTCCAAATTAGATATTATTGTCAAAATGGAATCAGAGTTGAAAAGGATAAACATCAAAAATCTGTAGAGATGAATAATATTACTGAAACATTTCAAGTTGAATATCATTGTCAAAATGGAATTAGACTTAAAGTATTGAAAATCTACAGAGATGATAACACTATTGAAACATATCAGTCAGCGGACATGTTATTTACAATTGCAGATGTATTGATCAAATTAATTGACATACTTAAATTTTATAAATAAATTTATAAAAAAAAACTTTATAACTTCCATCAAAATTAAAATAAAAATTAATTTTAAAATTTTGGTTACTTATTTTTGAGTTCCTAAAAATCCTTTATACAAAGTTTGAGTAACAGTTAATAATAATGTTAAAAATAATCTTGATCCTAAAGTTGAATGTTCCTTTACTATGTTTCTTAAGTTAAAAAAAACTGACCAATCATAAAATATTATAAATATTTCATCATAATTTTTTTGACGATAAGTTAGTCTTTTAATTTAAGTAACATATATTATTATAATTATTGGGTATGTCAGTTTTGACTAAAAAACATTGTAAATAAACATTCAACTTTAGGATTAAGATTATTTTAACATTATTATTAACTATTAGTTAAATTTTATACAAATAATCTTCAGATACTCAAGAATAAGTATTTGAAGTTTTTAACTTAACTTTTATATTAAGCTTTGAAGAAAATTAAAGATTAAAAAAATTTTATAAAATTTATATATAAAAATTTAGGTATATCATTTATTTGATCAATACCATATTGTTATAAAATAACACCTGAGGCATTATTTCAAGACATATTACTTAAAAAGAGCTAATAATTAACTTAACTAAGTGCAAAACATAATTTTTTATTATTTAAAATCTTCAGCCAAATTAATTATTAGTTCTCTTCAAGCAATAGTCTCAAAATAATGCTCTGGAGTATTATTTCACAATGATATGATAAGTATACAAATCTAATATATAAACTTTCAGACTTATATTAATAGAAAATAATATGCATTAAATTTTATTACAATAAAATCGTATTTAAATGAAAACAAAACAAAACTAAAAAAAAGTTATAATCAAAGCTACAAACTTTTTTTACTAATAATTCAGACATTTTCTACATTATTGTTGGTATTACTTTCTTTTGGATTTGTTTGGTAAATTGAAAGTTTCACTAATAATGCTTTTTGAATTTCAATTAAAGAGTTTTTTGTAACTATTAGATTGTGAAAATGGATTAAAGCTCCACTAATAGAATTATTCTCTTGTTCTTGATCATGCCTATTTCTCTATTTCTGCTAAATGATAGTCTGATCCTTATGAATTGCATTTAGAAAGAGCTAATTATATATATATTTTCTTAATATATTTTAATACATAGATTATTAGATTTGATAGTAAAGTTAATATCGTTAGAACCAATACATAATTCTTTCAGAATATTATTTTTTCAAAATGCATTTGCTATTGCTTTTTTTCCTTCTGATCCAAAATTATTATTTCAAACACCTAAAGTAGGTAGCATGTGTTCTTGCAAATCGCATTTGCTAATGCTTTTACATTTTTTAAACTGAAATCATTCTTACTGAAATATATAAAAGTCAGCTTGGTGTTCTTGCAAAGTGCATCCACTAATGCTTTTCTAACTTCTAATCCAAATCTATTTGAAGTAAGAACCAAAGAAGTCAGTATGATGTTTTTGCAAAGAACATAAGATAATGCTTTTTTACCTTCTAATCCAAGGTTATAACTTTCAAGATTCAAAGAAGTTAGTGTGGTGTTCTTGCAAAGTACACTTGTTAAAATTGTTTTATTAAAGGTGCTATCAAGTGTTAAATGTTAAAGATTTTTACTTTTTCATAGAAACATTGCAATTAAAGAACTTTTGATAGCATTGAAAGTTTATTATCTTTATTAAAGCAATATTCTTTATATTTAAGCCAATTTTTAACACTATAGGTTAAATAAGAACTAACAAATTTAGTATAACTTTCATATTCAAATAATGACTTTGGATAATCTAAAAGAATAATTTTGAAGAGAATTAATTAAGCCTGCTCCTTAGCATTTAATACTAAAAGGTATATTCTTATAAGTCTTTTATTTCTAAAATAAGGTTCACTTCATAATATTAGTATAATACTTAATGATTTATAAGAAGACATAAAAATAAACTTCTGCAATTAGTTCAAAATAGAGTTAATACTTCAATCTGGATTTATATATCTGAATTTATTACTATATCATGTAATATGATACATATAACATAGTAATAGTAAAATCTGGATTTATATATTTGGATTTATAATATTCAAATTTTTTATAATAAAACCTAATTGAGGTATTAACTAGTTCAAAAAGTATTAAATATTTCAAGAAGGCATTCATTTGATAACATAAACAGTTTGAAAAAATTAAATAATTTAGTATATTGATATTGGTAAAAAAATCAAATTTTGCCTTTAACATGTTGACTAACTAATATAAACTTTAGATATTGCTATGAATTACTTAATTTAAATAGGTAGTTAAATGAACATTGTTGTTTCTTATTTCTAAATATAAAACTATTATGATGAACAATACAAATACTCATTCCTATACTAAATAATTGCTATATAACTATTTCCTTCATGTTTTGCTTAACATAATACTCCATTTTTGCTGTAATAAATGTATAATCATATATAATCATAAGAATTTATTTATAGCAGTACAAACACACGAAGAGCTGTTATTGTTTGAAGCAATCTAATTTAAATCCATACTTCTTCAAATCTGATCTACAAATTCTTTAAAATTTTTGTCAGTTTAGTATACCTAATATGTATAGTATGTATGTACATATATATGTATCAATATGAATATAGACCTAATTTGCCATATAATATAAATTATCTACACTATGTGCATATACAAAAAATCTTATAATATTTGCAGCTTTTTTCTTGATGATATTCATATATATAACATCATAAAAAATTTTATAAATACCTTAATTCTTTAAAGTTTTAACTATTTACAATTCTTTAACAAATAAAGTATACTTAAAAACTTAATGGCATCTAGTTCTTATTATAATCAATTTTTTGCTAAAATTGTAAAATATAGTAGTGATAATAATAATGACAATATGGATATAGATCTAAATAATGAATCAAGTAATGATGATTTAGAACTTTCAGGCTCTTTCTTTTTATTTTAAAACTTTAAAACCTGAAATTTCTTATCAAATTCATCTAAAATCAGATA